GATAATGTAAGTAAAGAATTATGAACTTAGGCTGGTATTTGTAAAAAAAAAAACGTTTATTTTTTATTTCAGTTACCATTTTTTAGGTTGTGGAAGGAAAGGAATGTTAGAGCTTTTGAGGGAATAAAAATGGATTTTTTAAACATTAAGAATAGATGGTTTCATACTTTTGGATCCACTTTGCTGGGTCATGACATATTAGATTGGGAAGACTTGGGGTGCATCATTGACCATCTAATTGATATGTAACTACTATGTAATTGGGTGGTACTCCTTTAATACCTTTTGTGAATAATAACGCTTTCATCTTTAAAAAAAAATCAGCATTCTTATCCTCTAATCTTTTGCCACATGTATCATTCCTTTATTTATGTAGCTCTTGTTGCTTTTATGAATTGATCTATCTTTTTGATATCCTTCTTTTTTCTTCTGCATCTGTCAACAACTTTTATATTGCCCCCTCAAACTTGTGAACAACAATCACATTATCACACATAGTATAGCATTTCAGTGGTTTCAGTGTTTTGAAGGTATTGTTTTAACTGAATTTATTATCAGGCATAGCTCATTTGTTATTCATTATTAGCTAATTTCACCACACCTGTCACACTGAACCTGAAGCATTGGATCGTATATTTAGCTTCTTGTTTGATGTAAGACTTTCATAATACAGATTAATATTCTTCTTTTTCTTCATCTTCTTCTTCAATAGAGGAGTTTGTGAGGCGAAATCTTAGATATTCCATCTGATGGTATCGCTGGTAAATTCCATATCTGAATATCTTATTTACATTCTTGTACATGTTGCAGGGTCGTTCAAAAGTAGAAGAAACTGCTCCTGGTGTTGCAACTGGAATGATTTTGTCTCTTCGTGAAAGGTATTATATGATCTATCAAATTTCATGGTTAGTTTTCTTCAAGCTTGCTTTGGCTACTTATTCTCTATAATTTTCTTTTGCAGCCTTCAGAAATGCAAGGATGCCCTTGCGTCATGCCAGGTAGGTTTATCTGTTTGTTGATATGATATTTAGATACATCTGCCAGATCTTTAGCCCTCATATAACTTGTCTTTAGGAGGAACTTGAAGCTGCAAAACAAGAGATTCAAAAGTGGCATTCTTCATTTCAGAACGAAGTCTTCATACCAGTTGGAACATCTCCTGGTTGATCTTTCCTGGATTGTTTATCTTTTTGTTTATTATGTCGCAAGTGTTGTGATGTTTCATCTTGTGGTTTTAGTGCTAATATTGTCGTCCAAGTTTTGTTTTAAGTACGTTATATTTGCTTTTTTCTAAATTTCTATTTGTGCTTTTTGTAGAGCCTAAATTAGTGATTAACTATATTCAAATGCTGAAATCCTCTGAGAAGTCCTTAAAAGAACAGGTTAGCATAAATACTGTAAATACATCTGTGTCTTGAGAGTTTATCATTCAACTTGTAGAATATCATTATAATTTTCTTTTATTCTCAGCTAGAAATAGCAAAGAGGAAAGAGGCTTCATGCATCGTACAATATGCAAAAAGGGAGCAGGAGATGGCTGAGTTGAAGGTGACCTTTTTTCATGGGTGGCATGCCTTTTCCACAGAAATGGAATGTTGTGTTTTCTCTCCTTATCTGGAACTCCCAAGAGGGCATAAAGTTCTGTTTTTTACTTCAGTTACTAGTTATTGGTTATGATTTTGGGAAGTGATTCCTTCAGAAGGTGCAAAGAGAACAGGGAATGAGAGTAGCAATAAAAATGGAAAATCTAGTCTGCAGCAACTAATGATCTAAACAAGCATCATACTAGGCACTGAGAAACAGTGGTGATGGCAATAACTTTCTTGAAAGTTGTAGGGTTTCCAATGATCTCCAGGATGATTGGAGAGTGTTAGAGATTTAATCATTTTTATCTTCTTAATGAAAATGTTAATCTATTTTCTCTCTGTATAAAAAATGCTGATTGTTTTTTCCTTTTCCAGAGAAGGGCTTATTTTATGCATCTTTCTTATTGTTTTATTTGCTTACATTTTTCTCATATGCCTAAAAACAATGAGCACTTTTGAGTTTCCAGTCAGCAGTGCGGGATCTGAAAGCACAATTAAAGCCGCCATCAATGCAGGTATTATGCAAGTGTCTCTTTATAGTTTTCTTTTTTGATGGATATTTGGTACCGGGGCATATAATATTCCAGAATTGAGAACTTAGCAGCCTGTGAAACATATTGTATAAATCATGTTATCTTTGCTCCTATGCTTTCCTCATTTAAATGATTTTCTGTTATTGATGTCTTTTCTCACTAAGACTAGCTTATCTTACATCCTTATTATTTTCTTTTGCCAAGTATTTCATCTTTTTCCTGTGAAATACTTTTCCCTGTTCTGGTCACGAAGTGGACATTATAAAGAACCCAAATAAAGGATCTAGGTATGAATTGATAAATTTTCAAAAAGTCCAAGAGAGATTCTTTCATATGTATATGGGGCAAGACACCTATAGTAACTAGGATGTATTCTTGTGTCTGAAAATTTGCATTTCAGCCTGTTAATCCTCTTGAACCCAGATTCTTCAAATTTTTCCGTTATTTGTATCAATGAATTACGAGAACAATGTCAATATGTCCAGTTGCTTGAATTTGGAAATGCTCTTTTTTTTTGCCCACCCTTGTTTGTCATATAAAACTTCAGGACTGGCACTCATTCATTTTTAATTGGTAGGTGGCCGTTCTTTTTTTTGAAATAAACTCTTTGGTTAAAATGTTGCTTGGAACGATATCTACTTTCTATTAGAACATTTGTCTTACAAAATAAATTCCTTTTTTTAAGAAGTATTTCTAGTGGCTCAGTTTTATGTTGGACTTAAATTGACAGGCAAGGAGGCTGCTACTGGATCCAGCCATTCATGAAGAATTTACACGCTTAAAGGTTTGTATAGGTAACTTATGTTTTTTTTGAAAAGTATATTAAGCTTGTATCTGAAGACAGTTTCTGTGAAGTGCTTAATGCTTTAAAATTGGATTTAGTATAACAATTCTATTAGTTTGAGCTGTCATTCGAATGTGGGAAAATTTCCTGGTGAGATGCTTTGAACATTGGGGATTTTCTCTCCGTTTATATTTTTATTATAACAGAAACTTTTTGAACTAAAAGATTAGATGTTACCTAAACTCATTTAGGAAGAAAATAGTCCAGAGATTGATGAAAGGAACCGAATAAATACAGAATCGTTGTGATCCTTTCCTTCCATGAATTGTTCTCTATGCTAATTTCAACTTGTAGTCACAACTGGGAGTTTCTTTTGTGAAGAAAGCTCATTTAAACTCCAGTAAATGTACAATAATGAAATCCTTGTTGGTGCCTGATGCTTCGTGTTTTGTTTACTTTCTTTAGTTGAAGAAATTGGTAAAGTAGCCTTTATGCTGACATAGTATTTGAAAATTTAACTTTCAACCTTATCATGGCCAGCTTTATAACAGGTGTTCCTTTTTGTACTTTTACAATCTCTTAGGCTTTTGTTTTAATATTGTAGTTTATACTTTTAGTTCTGTTACTCTAGACTCTATGATGGTGGGTGGCCAATGAACATATACTGTTCACATATAGTCTTTGCTTATTTAGGTGTTTCTTTATGGTTCCTTTGGTGCCACATTTACAGAATTTAGTCGAGGAGAAGGACAAAAAGGTTAAGGAACTGCAGGATAACATAGCTGCTGTTAGTTTTACTCCACAAAGCAAGATGGGAAAGATGCTTATGGCAAAGTGCAGAACATTGCAGGAGGAAAATGAGGAGATTGGAAATCAAGCTGCTGAAGGGAAGGTATGCAACCATGTTTTGCTTTCTTTGTCTATTTTGCATGTGATTGTGCCGTATTTCTTCTATGTTGTATTAATGTGTTCCTTGGCTGTGTTAATGGAATGAATCAATATCTTCCTATAATGTTGTCAGACTACTGTAATTTGTTTATGAGAAAAATAATTATTTGCAGTACACAAAGTGAACACTGTTGCCTGAATTCAGGGTCATTATTGGGGAAAAGGATAAATTTTTTGTGTGGAATTTATTTGAAAATCTTAATACAAATTGTATTTAATTCAAACATGAAAAATGTGAAAAATTTAATCCACTATAAGTGGAATTGAAATGACACAATATCAAATTCTATCAATATTATGAAATTTGGAAAGAATTTGGGTGGTATAAAAAAATGAAGTTGGTTCATTTGTCTGGTTTTTGCTTTGATTGAAACCATTCTATGTATATACTAAATGGAAATGGCTTCACAGAGTTAAAATCTCCTAGTAATTCCACAAAAAATTCATTTGTTCCAAACATACCCCTCGAAGAGTATGATACCGTTAGTATGAGATCAAATCAATTTTTTGGTTCAGTTTTGTGATGAGTGGGACTCAACCAACCTAGCTATAATTGGTGGAGTTGTGATACTTAGAGCAGCAATTCCCTAGTCTTTGTCCTCTTGCTTGTGATGATGGAGTCTTTTTCCAGATCTCTTGTTAACAGTGTTTGGGTAGGAGATTAATCAAGAATCTCAATGAGTGGGTGATCATCGACTACATTAACTTGTTGCAGGTTCTTCCCAATATACAACCAAATGATGTTGTGGATGAGTCTGGAAGCTTAACCTTAAAGGGCTTCTGCACTTGGTTAAAAATGAGGGAGCTGGCTAGGAGTTCCCTTAAGAGCATATTAGGGAAATTGGTGCCTCATTTAAGGTGGCTTTTTTTATTGTTTGGAAAGCAGTAAGGGAATGCATACGACCTTGTCGAAAGGTGGAAAATTGTGGTAAATTGGTGCTGTTTGTGTAAAAAAAGCAGTAGAGCTTGCAACCACATCATTCTTTGGTGACCTTTCTTATTGCTTTATCTTAACAATCTTATTTAAAAAAAAAACATTGCTTTATCTTAACAATTGAGTTTGGAGAGGCATCGATAGGGATAAATGCTCCAACAAGACTTTAGGCCTCAGCCTCTTGACTGCTTTCACATCGTTGGAACGAAAGAGATAAGAGAACTCTTGTGTATAGAGTTACTTTTACAGATTTGAAGATTTATGGTTTCAGACCCCAGACTTTTGATTAAGAACCATCCCTTTTTTCATTCATACGAGGATCTAGGGACCTTATCGATTTTCTGATAGACTTGTAAATATCTGTATGCAGGTTGCATTCCTGTAGTGCTTATTTATACTAATTACTTTTTTACTCAAAAAAGAAGTCAAATCAATAAATTTCTTCTAATTATAGGAGATCATATTTGCTAATTTCTAAAGGTATTAACTTTTTCTACTTTGAATATTTGTTGGTTTGCAGATGCACGAATTATCCATGAAGCTTGCTGTACAAAAATCTCAAAATGCAGAGCTTAGGAATCAATTTGAGGGTTAGTAATGTGTAAACTTTATGATTGTTGTACACATTGGCTAATGAACTTCTATGGTTATTATTTTCACTCTTGAAAATAAGTATCTCAACAAGGCCCCAACAGGTGCTGCCCATGTACAAAAGAATGGTTACAAGTGCATCAAAGCACAAATGTACGGTGTAGATGTGATAAATTCTTCCTACCAAAGGGTGTTGGAGTCCAAAGAATTGACAAATGAATAAGGGAGATCAACTTCTTACGGCCACTACTAGACTTAATGCCCCCCTATACCTACCGGTTAATTTGCTTCTGAACTCCCAATGACATTCTTGGACTTTATTTGGTAGAGCTTAACTACTTGGCTTAAGTTCTAACCTGTCCTAGTTATCACCCCAGCCACCAATATATGTTGCCGACAACCACCAAGGAAAACTAAGTTATTGAAGTTGTAACCAAAGGAGCATCCTGGACATAATTGCAGCAGTGATGGGCAATTTGTTCTGTCATATAGTGGAGGTTGTGCGTCTAACTTGTTCCCTCTGTAGGAATTTCTATGGTCATTGGGTAGTCGATGCATGGATAGTGAGACTGGTCGCACTGCCAGTGACCATGCAACCTGAGTGGTTACACAACAGAAGTGGTTGAACCTTTTTATTTAAGCCAAGTTAACTGTGACAATTGACAATTTTTAAAATCATTTAAAATTATTTTTACATATTAGTTTGTTTTGCTTTTGTATTATAAAATATTATTTTTCAAAATAAAAAGTATCTGTTTTATTTTCTACCCTAATACTCACTCAATGCATACTTTAACATACATGGTGATTAGACAATAACTGCCATTTTGCACTATATGATGAAATATTGTTTTACCCAAGGTTAAACATCAGTTCATGTTATTCTTATTCTTTTCTTGCTGTTGCATGCAGGGCTTTGCAAACAGATGGACAGTTTGACTAATGATGTGGAAAGATCAAATGAATTGGTTTGCATCTTTCCTTATCCTTTGTGTCTGCTTAATTTCTAAGAATGAAGCCTATTGCAAGAAACCATGCTGTTCAATGTTCTGTTTGCATAATTTTTAAGGAGAAACTAAGGCTCTGTTGGAACAAATCAATAAATTTTGTAGAATTCACTTGGAAGTCTGTACTTGTTTAACTAGGAGGTGATGATGAAAATCCCATATAGAATGATAAAGTTGACCTGGAGAATTTCAAATGGAATTGGGGAAAAGATTTTCTAAATTCCATCAAATTTTACAGAAGTTTGAAATGTATTAATCTGATTTCACTTTAAATTTCCTCGGAATTTCAATTTTATGTTTTCTAATAAAATTTCCTCCTAGATGAACAAACTTTAAATTTGTAATTGTTCTAATAAGACTTCTAATTTGTTCCGAAATAATCTAAACGAGAGGTCAGTATTGCACCTTGTTGGCTTGTTGCAACGACTGATTAATCGTATTCTCTTTTTTTCATAATTTTTATGGTGTCCACAACTATGTCATTGTTTAATGGTTATTTTTTTCTACTTGATATTAAATCAATGAGATTCTTAAAACTGTTAAATGCTTTGTCAATGGAGATAGTTCTTTTCTATTGGTAGTTGTAGATCAGTAAAATGTTCTTAAGTGTTATTTTTTTTAGTTAAAGGTTAAAGAATAATTTGCTCGGTACTCATTTCGTGGATCCTTCATGTTAGAAACTCTTAAGAGGATCAAATATAAAACATTTTTGGACAGGAATGAATTTGAAACTGATTTCCATATTGGACAAAACTTAGATTAGAGTAGAAAGGGCTCAATGGCTTAACTCTTATTTTATTCATGGACTGTATTTTCTTATGATATTACTGATATGAAGAATTTAATAATAATTTTCTTCTTTGATTCATAATCAATTACATGCTTTGGAAATAGTTTAGTGTTCTTAGTTTAGGTTGGACTTCTAAATTCACGTAGTTTGAAGTGAAGAGAGGAAATATCATTTTCATTTTAACCATATATGGTTTCTATTCTATTTTTGTTTGTTTTCCATGAATTTAGCATTTCTTGCAATGATGTTTCTGTAACTTAGCATTTCAAATAGAACAATTATTGTCTGTTTTTTTTTTTTTTCAATTTAGTTATGAAGTAAGACAAGAACTAAATCATCTCTTTGCAGGTTCTTATGTTGCAGGAAAAACTGGAAGGGAAGGATCTTGAGGTTCAGCGGCTGAAACATGAGTTACAACTGAGAAGTCTGGCTGAAGAGGAAAAAGTCAATTTAGCTGATCAAATGGATTTAACTCCTGATAAAAAAGTTGTTGATGAAGTGGTTACAACTGATGAAGTTGTAAAAGAATTCAGCGAAGCTTGAAACTAAATATTCAACTAGACAAAATTTGTAGGATGCATCATTTTATTTTTACCTCTTTGTTGGTTATGTAATGTACATTATTTCTTTTACTCTTTTTAATTTGTTAATAAGCTAGCTTTAAAACTCTGAATAGTTCTGTTGTTAGATTGTGTAACTCTCTGGCGGGTCATAATCAGGGTATCCTGCATATGCAACATACAGATACCATATACTGCTGCTATGTAATTGTTTTTATATCACACAGTAATTTCTTCCTGTACTCTTGGAAGGTTAATCTTCTTCCAAGGAAGCACCAAACAGAGCGAACTCATCCAATTTCGACTTAGATGCAGACTCCCTTGCTAACAGCCGAGGTTTGACTTCATCCATTTCCCAGTTTCCTACTCATCCCTGTTTGAATTGAACCTGCCCAATCACGATTAGCTATGGAAACAGGTGTTAAAGTTGCTTGGATGTTTGTTTGTTCAACATTTTTGCTTAGGCCTTGGGTATTAAAATTTCATCATCCGTCTGCATGGCTCCGATATTCTCTCTTTGTCTCTTGGCCCGGCAAAATCTCTCCCTAATTGATAAAATTCAATTTTTATTATTTCATGGGAATTATCCGTTCAACCTACAAAAGCTGGCCATGCATTTTAATTGTTGAAAAGTGAAATTTTCATGCAAAGGTGAAGTTTATTCATACCCGATGTAGTTGTTTAGGACGCTGGAGAAAGCTAGTTATTTGTTTTGTATCACTTTGTATTGATTGGTTTTCTAGTTTGAGTTTTCTATTTTTTGTGCAGATTAGCCACTTTTTATACAATCCAGCTTCTCTTTCTCAGATTATATATATCATTACTAGAAAATGATAGTCTAAAATAATTGAAAAATTGATAGAAAAGTATTTCAAGATTACATCATAACAAAAAAAGAATAAAATACGGAAATAATAAGTTTTTCTTTCTCATTGCCCCAAACAGTATACGATTCTCCCAATTGAGCTTATTATATAAAAAATTATTGTTTTTAAGGCTACTGAGGTGCTAGTTCTTGGCATATCAGTTGAATCCCCAAGTTGGGAAATCCAATTAAATGAGATGTTTATTTCAATATACAAATCTTCATATTTAATTATTTAAATTAAATTATTAATATAGAGGTACTTCCGAGGTTTTTTTTTTAGCATTTTTTTCTTTGTTCTTTTCTTAAAAAGCTACCAAAATCGTTCAAAAACAACCTGCCAACTTAAAAGAAAAAAGAAAGAAAAGAATTAAGACGGTCTCTATATAAGCCCAAAGCACGTAAACGAATTTATTTTGAACATATTTCACTCAAAAATGAATATATCCGTTTAATTGCTTTACTACAAACGAATATATATATTCTCATTTCACAAAAAACGAGCGGTAACGCCATTGGCAGCCTACAACAATCATCGGCGCCTCATCTCTGTTTCGTTCTGCCACGAGGCCAACCCAATCCAGCATTCCCTTCGTTACCAATTGCTTGTATTGGTTCCACCAAACCTTTTGTCGTTTTACCAAGTCCCTCTCCCTGAACCCAATTTAGAATTATTGAAAAAATGAGAAGAGATCAAACATGGTTTTGTATTCATGTTGCCAGCAAGTAGTTATTCTTTTCTAAGAACATCTTGCTAAAGATTGTGGTCTAAACATTAACCAAATAAAGGTTCTGACCATTTTGACGAACCATTCCTCCAGACGCACTAGGATGATCTTTTCGTTTTGTTTTAGAAAACTTCCAAAACAAAAAAGAATTGTTTGCTAGATTTCATCTTAAATAATTGGATAGGCTTGCGACAACCCTTCAATGACTTGCTTAAGACAGATGTCAGAGCAGCATTCTTATCTTATTTAGAATATAATTATCCAGTTTTGATATCCTTTACTGAGTATAAAAAGCCTAAGTTCTTGCTTAAGACATGTGATAGCAGCATTCTTATCTTATTTAAAATATAAATATCCTTCACAGAATATATAAAGCCCCAAGTTCTGATTAGATTTACCTCCTTCCAGCCCATGCCTTTTAGAATCCTTCTTGCGTAACTACCTGCTCCAAGTGACATGTCCAAGGCTTCAGCTGCAGCCTCCTCCCTGGTAGATGCAGAAATTTGATTACCAAAATCACCAGCCACCATGCTCTTTTGCCCCGGACCTCCACCAAAGCCACCATGCAAAATTCTTCTTTCAGCTGCCCTGTCCCTATATGCATGCTTTCTTTGCTGGCAACAAACAGCAGACAACTAAGGTTTTTTCCAAAGAAATACAAACAACGCATACACAGTCCAAATATACAGACAGGAGGCTGGTGGATGGTTCAATTATCTGATTTATGCAAAGTCAGATAATGGGCATAAAATGACCTAGCACTAGAGTGTGATTACAGTCAGATCTTCGAAATAAGAAAAAACAAGAGAACAATCAGAAGAATGGAAAACAAAAACCAACAAGAATCAAGTTATGGTTGGGAGACAAGTGAATCCGTAATACTTTGTTCTTACAAATTTACAAATCTTCAGGACATGTTTGAAGCTGCTGACCAAGCCACAAACTCCTAATAATGCCTAAAGGAGTGAATTATCAGAGACAAGGTGTTTGGTTCCTACTGATGAATCGCATTATGGAGCAATTCACAACAAAATCAATAGGTATGACTGAATTTTCATTTGATTTTTTTCGTTTCCCTATCTTTAAAAATTGAGAAAAAAAATTAGGGCTTGTTGAATAGAAAGAACCATGCAATCACTAGAGTAGAAACATACTCTTTGTTAACATCAAATTTTCAGATATAGACGGTCTTCATCCCCAGAGCAGAGGAGGCTCGTTGGATAGAGAGAGCCCTATGATCTCTAGAGTAGAAACATACTGTTCATTAACATCAAATTTTCAGAAATAAACGGTCTTCATCCATAGAGCAGGAGATATATACTAAGAGGAGCAGTTAATTTTGGAATTAGAATTTCAAGAATAGCCTGAACTGCCCTAATCTTGTAATAGACTTATTTCTTACTCTAATACACACTTACATACTGATTATAAAATAAACACTAATACTACCACTACTAACACACATGTATATAAGCAATTGCACAGGATTATTGATTTTATTTCTCATTTGTGTGGATAAGGAACTATTTTGTTCCTAACATCACTTTCCTCCCTGAATTGGTGCTTCTCATCAAGCGCAAAGTGAGTAAAATGGAGCTGCTTTGATCGAAAAGATCCCAATAAGCATCTACAAGAGAAAGACCCTCCCAATGTATGAGAACTTCATTCTGGCCGTTGTGGGTTCTTGGTGAAGGATGAGGGAACTCCTTGGTGAACAACAGGAAGAGTGGATGAAATACCTTGCTGTTCATGGAAAGCCTTAAGAGAAGAAATACGAAAAACTGGATGTAAGTTGGTGGAGGGTAAATCCAGCTTGTAAGCGACTTCACCAAACCCCACTATAGTACCTTGAAAGGGCCATAAAAACGAGGAGACAACATCTACACCCTCTTGTTGCCAAAAAAAATCTGTCTATACAGCTGAAGGTTCAGAAGAAGCAAGTGATCATCCTTGAAAATTACTTCTCGATAGCTACTATCATAAATGTGTTTCATCCTCTGTTGAGCCTGCAGTAACTGAGTATCCAAAGTGTGTATACCCTGTCATGGTCCTTAGTTCAGAATCAACAGTTTCCAACCTAGAAAGTCCCAACCAATAAGAGAGTAGTCTTGGCAACGGTCTCCTATTCAGAACTTCAAAGGGAGTGGCCTTTAAGGGATAGAGATGACCAGTATTATAAGCATACTCAGCCCGAGAAATTCATTGAACCCACTGTGTTGGATGATCACATGTGAAACAATGGAGATATATTTCAACTTTTCGATTAACAACTTCTGCTTGGCTATCTGATTGAGGACAATAGATGAAACTAAAGGCTAGCTTAGTCCCGCAAACCGCAAAAAGTTCATCCCAAAACAGGCTAGTGAAATTAACATCTCTATCACTAACAATAGATTCCGGTAATTCATGCAATTCAAATATATGATCAAAGAAGAGCATAGCTACAATGATAGCCATATCGGGATAAGAAGTGGAATGAAATGAACATACTTGGAGAACCTATCCATCACTACAAATTTATACATTTTTGCCATTAGAAGTAGGTAGGTCTTCCATAAAGTCCAAAGAGATATCCACCTATATGTGAGACGAAATGGGTAATGGCTGCAACGATCCTGCAAGATAGAAAAGTTCTACTTTATCCATGGTTCAACCACACGAGCAAATGAAATCTTTGACTTGAGGTTTCATTCGCTTCCAAAAAAATCCATAGAAAGCCGTCTAAGTGTTTTTTGATACTCCTCATGGAACTGATTATGAACTGCACTTAAAACTAAATCACATAGAAGAAATTCCAATGGAAGAGAAACCCTATGCTTGTAGAAAATTAATCCATCTCTAACTTGCTAGTTATCATTAAATTCTCCATGCAGAATTTGCTGAACCAGGGTTTGTAGAAAGGCTGAATTCTTGACCTCTTGGCAAATCTGATCTAAGTGATCAAGAGATGGAATGGAGACAGCATGTCACACAGAAGCCGCGTCAAATTGCCTTGAAAGTGCATCCACCAGTACATTCTCTTTTCCTGTCCTGGACTCAACAACAAAATCAAATCTCAAAAGCTTACTAATCTAATGTTGCTGTAAAAACTTAAGGAATGATTGTCTAGTTAAAACTTGAGACTATAATGATCGGTTTTGATGCAGAATTGTTGTCCCCATAGATAAAGTAATCCAAGATTTAACTGCTTTGAACAGTCCTATTAGTTCGTTCTTATAAGCAGGAAGCCCTATAGATGGCAATGGGATGAAAGGTGGTTGAAAAAAGCCATAGGCTGGCCTTGTTGTTTTAACACTGCACCAACGTCGATATCAGAAGCATCAAATTCAACAAAAGTTTGTATAAAGTCTTGAAGTGCCAATACTGAAGTAGTCATCATAGCATTGTTGAGAGTGTCAAGAGTCTGTCGACTATCATCAGACCATACAAAGACATGTTTCTTCAACATATTTGTAGGAGGAGCCAAAATAACACCATAATTTTTCACAAACTTGTTGTAATACCCTATCAAACCCAAGAACCCCTCCCCAAATCCTTTATAGAAGTAGGGAGAGGCCACCTTTTAGCTTCAATTACCTCTTGATCTACTGCCCTACCTTGTTGAGAAATTATATGACAAAGGCAAGCCACCGAGACTTAGAGAAAAAGTACATTTATATTTCTTGAGGAACAACACATGCCTTTGAAGGATGTTGAGAATAAAGTGAAGGTGTTGAACATGTTCAATCCATGATTTGCTGCAAACAAGACTATCATTGAAGAAAACAAACACAAACTTTCACAGATAATGTTGAAACGTGTTATTCATCAATGATTAAAAAGTAAAAGTTGCACTAGTAGGACCAAAATGCATGATCAAAAATTCAAAATGACTATGATGAGTCCGGAATGCAGTTTTCTCGATATCATTGACGGATTTGGTGATAACCCGAGCAAAGATCCATCTAGGAAGCGAAGATCCAACTTGGAAAAGTATGAGGCACCATGCAATTCTTAACAACTCCTTAATAACAGGAATAAGAAATCTACCTTCCAATGGTGCCCAGGATGAAATTTTTTGTCGCAATAAAACATAAATTTTGGGCATGTAGGCGCTCAAATTCCTGTACTGACAGTGTCTTCACAGCCGGAGAAGGGCTCCTACTGAGGCGGCTGGCAGTCAGCTGTTGTTGTTCCGGGGCATTGGGCTGGCCAGAATTAATAGGAGCAATGTTGGGGGCTGTTTTGCACAGCAAATTAAGCTCAAATAGATTGTGCATTGCCCTGCACTCATAAGATTGTGCTAAATTCATGGCTGTGGTAAAATCTCTTAGAGTTGCAAGTCGACTTCCACCGCAATGTATTCTTTCAACCCCTAATGGAAATTTTCACTTATTCAGGAGAAAGTACACTTGCTTGAACAGAAAGTAACTCAATTTGTCGCTGATATTCAGCCATCAAACCCATCTGTTTCAATTTCCTAAGCTTCCCAATTTGTTGTTGTGAACCCAAACTGAAGATAACAAAAATATTTACAATCTGTCCAAGTCAAATACTACCTACTCTCCAATATAAGGGAACCAAAGTTGTGCTTCTCCCTCCAAGAAAAGAGACAAGCGGCACTTTTTCCCCCTTCATTGTTTGCTGATGTAAAAGGAAATGTTCACATCTTCCAACCCACGGAAGACGATCATTGGACCCGTCAAACCCTGGAAATCCAATTTCACGTATGTCAGCAGAATTGTCCAATCAACAGCCTGGTGGTGTCCAGCTCCTGCATACCGGTTTGGTGTGCACAAAGGGGCCGGACCAGAATCGCAGGTCACGCCCACGAGGTATACGCGACCGGCAAGCCTGCTGCTGCATTTATGTCAGCGTGCAAAGGGGTCGGGTGCACCCAAGAATTCCTCCCCCATGTGTCCTTGTTCTTCTGTCACCCACATCCGTCCAGATTGTGGGTGATGCTTGGCCTGCTGCTCCTTACTCCGGCTTCTTCTCAATTTTCCAGGCCAATAGTCCCTCCAACCAGCCAACCGAAATTCAAACTTCAAGTTATCTTGCTCACGCGGAAACCGGGATCAATAAATGCAATCCAAAACTCACACATACAATTTAACAAGTAAAACTTAAATCCCTAAATAGCTCTCCCTACTTAACTCACACTCAACTTGTGAATACAAACTAAGATAATAGAGAAACAAAAATAGAATTGATAAACGCCATGAGAATACCTCGATAAATAGAACCAATTCTTTACTTAACGAAATGGTCGAAGAAATATCCTAAAGAACGCTCACAATAGTTGAGAGCTAAAGCAAAAATAACTAAAATTTTGTTGAATCTGAATTGAATGAATTACAACTAATCACTTCACTTTTTTATAGGCAAAAATTAAGAAAATTACAATCGAAATTAAACTCCTAAAATATAGGATACATATCCCAAATTCTATCTAGGACTCTCAATAAAAAAATAATTAAAAGACTCATAAATTAAAATAAACTAAAACCTTTCTCTCTTAAGTTGTTGTCGACTTAATCTTGGAGAATTCTTCTTGGATTTGCACTTAGGATGCAACCAAGTCGAGGTAGAAAATAACTCATTTTCTTTGAGAAAATCAAGGACCATCGGTCATGAGGAGAAAATCAAGGAAAGATTCAATTTTCAAAGAGAAAATCTAGGAGAGAAGCGGCATTGAGGAGAACTTGTCCTTTTGAGTTTCTACTGTTAAATTGGATGCAAACATTCATTCAAGATGAGATGAGATTTAGGAAAAAATAGTCTACTAGGATT